AGCTGAATCACAGGCGCAGAAACACTTCAAACCTCCTCCTGTGTAGGAACCTGCCAGCCTACCTACCAATGACAAAGGCAGATGTTAGACTGTAGAGATTAAGGGTATATACAATTGACTCTCTACCAATAATTAGTGTGCAACTTAACAATGGAAATATTTAGAGGTTACCATCAGAGATACCTAGGGTGGTGGTGTTCACTGGAGCTACAGGGTTAGGATGTGGAAGTAATACCTACCACTCAATAAGGGTAACTGCCCTCTTAAAAAAAAATAATAATAAAAAATTTACGATCCCACATTCAACTTCCACTCAACTTATGTGAGCAATATGGTATCTTCATTCAGTTCCCTCTTTACCATCATTTTAATTCTGGAAACCTTCAGCAACTGAATTTTCAAGGAATGTAAGAATACAAAACTAGATTGTTGTTGTCAATCCTATGATCAGTTTTCACAATTCATTGTGCATGTTCCCAAAATCAACAGACACAAGCTTGGGGGAAGAATTCATATATATGGTGGGATAGAACAACGTCACTATAACCAAAAAACAAATGGATTAACAAGTTCACATCTGCGGCAAACTCTGCCAGACAGAAACACAGAAACAAACCGGGTGCTAAATCATCCCGAATTAAACAGCAGTTTAACGTCAGTCGTTCAGACTGACAATTACTCCCAGGAAGCAGTGTCCAATAGCTGCAGCGTCCTCAAGGTCACACGGCTGTCAGGAGAACAAACAGGATCCGTGGCCCACACAATATCGCACACACACCTCCGCGTGACGCCATTTCGACTTCGGTGTGCTGACGCCATGCCAAGCTTCGCTTTAGCCATCCAATATAATGCATGAACACTAAAACACTCAGTGTTAAAAATCCCATTCCTCTAAATGACAGGCAAAAAATAATCGTAAATACTGTGAGAACAACTAACGGTCGAAGACGGAATAAAAATACGATTAATTAACCAAAACAATAAAATCTAGGGTTACTTGTAAGAGTAGATCATGAATAATTAATAAGATTTAAGTTATGTTTTTCCCACATCATGAATATTAATAAGCCATCTTGTTTAGTTGCCTTATTCTACATATAAAACCATAAAATCCCATTTTTCCCTCCAGAGGAAGTACACAAAAATAAAGGCAAGATGATGTGACTTCGAGCTCCTGTTCAAAGCAACGCCTGTCCTTTCATCTGCGGATTTTATAGATAGACAAACCCACAGCATCTGCCGTTCCCTGCCACCCAGCTTTGCCGTACACGGTTTACAAGCTCCGCAAATGTAATAAATACGGCTTTAACCGCTCACACCCTGTCGACAGTGCGCGGTACTCCGGGACAGCACGTGCTGGGAAATATTCCCGGTTAAGCTGTCCGTGGAATCTGGCCTACGGCCAGGAAGCATGCCACAGTAGTGCCGTGTAGCCGCTTCCGTGACGCTAGCCTGCGAGAAAAGGGGAAAATAAGAACTAAAAAGCCCCGGAACAGTCCACACGGAGACCTCCATACACATCTCAATACCCCATCGGCTTCCCGGCATTGCTTCAGACATGAGCGAAAGACTTTCATTCGCTGCCCACAACCACAATGGCAGAGGTCCCCGGGTCCGACTTGGCAGGACTTCTGAAACAACATGGTTGCTTCCTGCAGCCTCCAAAGGCTGCTTGTTTCCCAGTTATTGTGAACACAGAGGGCCTCATACTGGCAGACCCATGGCAAGGGATTTTTGTGCCTCACCGCAGGCTTGAAGCTGGCCACGGGCCAAATGGAATAAAACTCCTATTAATGGGGTTGCATGGGGCTCACCGATGCTCCTCTACCTGACATACGGGGAGAAAACTCACAAAAATCTTTCATAATTTGCACTCCCACATTTTCCCTGGATTCTGATGGAACCTCTAAACATTCACTGAAGTGTTAACAAATAAGTGGCAAGAGAGGTGGGTTCTATTTTTATCTCGTTCTATGGCATATGCATGCTGTCGCCGCCCTCGCCGACTTGTTTAGAGTAGCAAATGCATCTATAATTTCATGACAGCGAGCACGTAGGGTTCAGTAGTGCACAGATATACCTAGTCACATAAGGGATCTGTGCTATTTCTATAAGAAAATAAAAAGGAGCACTATCATGCATCAAAAATAACTTATTAAACACATCATTCCAGCCAAATGTCTAGTCAATGATCCCACCATTTAGTGCGGAAAATGTACATTTTTACAAATGTTATAGACACATATCTAACCGTCCAATGTAAATGCAAAATATGACTGTGTTTTACATGCCTACTAGTAACTGACATGTATACAGTGTGCTAATGACATTAAACCACATTCGTTTCTCCCCCCAGGGAGTAATAATTCAGACAGTATAGCTGCATGAATGTTGATCAATGTACCGGCTCTCGGACTCAATGAAACAAAGAGTAAAAAACAGAAATCTCGCATCCCGCTGCATAAAAGATGGATGAAGAAGCCTACATTTTCCCTCTTCTCATCAAACCACTGCTTAATGCTTTGGCATCACCATATGGCAATACTGCTGCAAGAGCGTGAATTTACGTTTGAAAGCAAACGTGTGAAACTTGTCCCAGCAGTCTATTCAAAAGATGCACTAGTTTCTCTACACAGACCTAGATACCTGAGAACCTTTAAAATCTGGCCAGTCATCAAACAAACCAGTAGTGTATGCGGATCTCATAGCACAAAAGAGGCCAGTTTTGTACATATTAAACCATATTGCATGAAAATGCACCAAATACTCTTTTTCAGTGGGCAATGCAATAGTTAAGGACATGGACTCTTTATCCTGAAGACTGTTCAAGTCCCAGAAAGATCCTACAGCAGTAACCCTTGAACAAGATGCTTAAGTTGAATTGCTCCAGTAAAATGTCCTACTGTGTAACAGGCTAAGAAGTGGCAATGAATTAAAAAAAAGCGTCAGGTAATAATTACATGTGAATGTAAATAAAATATTAATTACTAATGTGACTGAAGAAATGGTTATCAGACATGTGGTGCTCATACTTCAACCTGCAACAGTTACCAAGCCACATTTTAGATGGAAGGGAAGCACACCTTTAGATGAAGGTAAATCCATGCAGTCTACAGTCAATGCCACAAAATCCATTGTGCTTCCCTAGTTGCACCTAACAACACTTGTTCCTTAAGAATCCACTCAAATACAAGGCAAGCACTTAAGTTGATTAGCGTAGCAAAAACTAAGCAAATGTATAATTCATACAGAACACATGAAAGATGTTTACAATTGAATTCTCTAGTATCATTAAAGATTTATTTAGGACAACAGGTGGTTATTAAAAGAAAATTAGCTAGATGGGTGCCAGTAAAGGCATCTTTGGCCAGGTATTTAACCTGTGCAGCTTCAACAAACAATATCCATCTGACAAATTTGTCAAAGAATATTAAGAAAAACTGTAAGCTGAGAGTCGCTTTAAATAAAAGGATCTGTTAAACCTAAAAAAGAAAGGAAAAAACGTAATCTAAATAATTCACTTTCATCAGCAGGCGTTTATCAGTGAACTTTTAACTATTCATCTGTAACTTTTCACTTCAGATTTATCCTGAACATCCTTCCAGATAAAGGCTACACCTCACATATTTATGGGTGGCGGCTCCCAGCTTCAACCTTGACAGGTGTCACCTGTCAGTCAAGCGATGGCTTAATGTAACATACAACCCTAAAGGGCTCTGGGATGTAAGGTTGTAAAAACAAAAGGCTTCATGTTTGAAAACCTGTTTGCACAAGTGACTTCAGACACTAACCCAAAAAAAAAGAAAGTCTCTGCCAAAACGTGGCACCTCACATTGGCTTTTGCTGACAAGGCCACCTCATGTCAATTAAAAAGCTACTGGCAGGTTGTGAATAAAACAGAGCTCTGGCTTCCCTTGTGTGTTTCCCAGTGCTTCTGAAGACATGGTTTGCAAAAAAAGTCCATATCAGACATGGGTTTCAGGAATTCCATTCGTTTTTTCCTTCCTTCCTTTCTTTGTCTTTCTATGGGAACTTAAAGAAAGTAATCCATTGGGGCATATTCAACAAGTTTACTAGGTGAGAAGGTATCACCGGGCGAAGGCAGTTAATTATACAGGTTGGCTTCAGTGAATATGCCATGTTTTACTGCCTGATTGCCAATGGAAACAGCTGACCAAAATTATAATAAAAAAATCAAATACGACAGATGCGTCTCACCTATGTATTACGGAACCGTCTCATTCCTCAGCTAGCTACGATGTAGCTATACTGCAGCTAACTATATCTCAGACTCATTTGCTTACATGTTACACGTTGGTAGTTGCTGTACAGCCTATAACCAGTAGGCTTGCTGAAGAAAAATATATTATAATTAAGAAAAAAATCGAGGTAAAGTTAGCAGATTAATCAGATGTCACCGGGGTTGTCGTTTTTCAGCGCCGTCAAGGGTGACAGCGGCCACAACCGTGATATTTAAGCAAAGGCTGTTTACACTCATTTTAAATAAACAATTTACTTTACTCAATCGATTTAGTTAACAGGCGTGAAACTGGTAGTTAGCTAACTACAACAGACCGTTAGCAAGTTAGCTAAGCCCCCTACTTCACATTTAGCCAAGTCCGGCTACGAAGCAGCTGGCCGTAACCACTGGCGTCTGAACACAGTACTAGTTATCCATCTTAACTTACCAGTCCATGGTCTAACCCAGTGTAAGGCTTTCTGGCGAAACAACAAGCGCTAATCTGACCTAATCACCACACCGGCGGGCAGTGCCGTGTACTTTAGGGACGTTAGCTAGTCGGCTAGCAGCTCAGGAGGATACAGCAATGGGCGCGTGGGGGGTGGGGGGGCGTTAAAAGTTGTAAAACTGGGAAAAGGACAAACTTCCTGGAGAAGAGCGTTTCGCAAGAGTGTCACTAGGTTACCGGAGGAAAAGGCGGCCGCGGTTAATCGGACGACGCCGCCTTGGGGCGCTAACCCTTAGCCGTGGGGTTCCTCACCAGGAAGCGGCGCGGCGCTGGCACTCCCGATGCCGCGATGGCGGTCTTCGCTTTCGGCCGCTGTCTCCGCACGTCGCTCGCTGCTGCCTGCTACGGGCACATCGGGGCTGGAGAGTTGGGGGGAGAGAAGAGAGGGATCTAACGCAGCTGCCCTGCGGAAAAGCGGGCAGGGTGATTCAGATCTGGACGGGAGAGATTATACTTTTAGTCAGTTGGTCTCCATTCCAGCTCGGTACCGGTCATGTAAACAGCCAGTGGTTCCCGGAGAAAAGGGGCGGGACACGGGTCATGATGGGACCCTGCCTGGCGTAGGACCATAATGCTTTCGACTTAAAATTAATACATGTGAATATTAAATGTCTCAAGTTTTCGTGATATTTGCATCCTACTTCCCATTAACAATGTGCCCTACGTGCAATCTCCTGGTGTGTGTGTGTGTGTGTGTTTGCGTAGATTTTGTGGCTGGCAAGGAGAATTTGTGACTAGATATATCTGTGCACTACACGTGGTTAAATCTGAGGAAGTCAACATACTGAACGTTTAAGTAAATTGTATTTTTTTTAGCATTTAATAGTGATGTTGGATAACGAAGGTGACATGACCGTGCTTTCCTTATCATTTCTTCATCGTTTTCATAATCTTGAACCCTTACCAGAGAGGCAGTCCAGTTTGGAGCTGAGGGTTTTAACCAATTCAGTAAACATGCAATGTTTTGAGTAGGAAAGCGTATTTCCTAACTATGCTGTTATTTGACAATGCTACAGAGGACGGCACGTGGCATTGTCCTGTATAATCCATCAAGTGTAGTGTGCAATTGAAACCAGCTGTTCCTTAGGTAACATCTGCAAAATCTTAAAGATTATTATTACATCAGTTCGTAAATTAATGGCATGTTAATTCACATTCCTTCTAACGTAACATGTTGATGTTTGATTTTTTTTTTGGGAAATATGTGCTGTAAGGGTTTCATTTTAATTAAGGAACCCGTTCATTTGCAGTATATCATAAATATAAAAGGTCTGGTTCAAGAATAACAACAATTGTGTAGTGTCTCCCACTCATCATGTAAGAACTTCAACAGACCTGCTGTTAACCTTATATTTGCAAATTAAAACGTGCTGCTGGTTTATCACAAGAAGTGACTAACAACAAAAACTAAAACGAAATACATGAGAGGAGATATTTATGTTGTTAGATAGCAAAAAAATAATAATAAATGCTAAATAAATTTAATTCTGTCTTTTATATACACCCACCTTTACCTTTGAAGAGATTGGTGATGTTTGGTGACTGGTGGCAGCTTTCTGGCTTTCAGACCTTGGAGTGAATAATTTTGAAGGCATGAGAAGTAATAGGTTCATGAAAACCCACTCTTGACAAGTTAGTGTATTTTTAACCTCATCTGGAATATTGCTATATCTAATTTTAATGTCTTTTTGAGCAAGTATTTGTAATTGAAGGTAAAATGTACTTCTAATATGGTTATTATAAATTCAATATCCACTGTTATGATGGATGAAAGGCTTATATGGTGATTCAGCCACATTTAACAAATTGTAGAATTTCCAACATATTGCATTTATCAATAATATTTTGACGCTTTTCTCCTCATAAATGTTATCAGTTGTGTTCATTCCCTTTTGATTTTTAATCGAAGAAAACACATCTGGGGATACTCATTGTGAAAGATGTTTGTTTTGCACTCCATGTATTCAGGCTGCATTAATGTCCGTATCTCTGTAAACAAACTGTTTCCAGTCTTCTTGCCCCTGTTTTAAGATTCATAGTAAAAGGCAGACCTTTTATTGGAATTAGGAATATTGCTGCATCCTGGACGTGGCAGACACCCTCTGAGCACTTTTTAGTCAAATTTACGTTCCCCCAGAGTAAACCCCAGTTGTATGCATCATTATTTTCTGTAGATGTTGCATCATATAAACCCAGAGAGCGCTTACCCAGGCCCCTTTCCTCATGTGATGCATGCCTAGCGACAAGTATATGGGGCTGATATATGTGCTTAGCAATAGGAAAGGGAGGCGGTGACTCGGAACTGGCAGAAGGCCTATTACACGACCACCGTGAGTCTGACACCTTGTCAGAGTAATGCACTCATTGCACCTTGCCAAGTGCAAGTCAGGCTTGGAGTTCTCTGCGTTGCCACCCTCTTTTTTGGGCTCGAATCACCAGTGTTGTCAGGCAACTGTTGCTTTGCTGACACCAATGTTTGCCATCAAAATAAGAGCAAAAAAATAAATAAATCGACATATTGGACTGACATAAATTCCCCCCAGAAAACCAACTTTAAGACTTGTATATTTATTCTCACCCAAGTACTGTATACAGGACTGAGTTTATTTCCTGTTTTCCATGTAATATTCCATCTAATTTGTGGACAAAACTCTTTTATGCATATGTTGTCTCCATTGATTACATACATTAAGCAGTTGTGTCTGAAGGTCAGTTATAGTCAAGGCCAGTGCACGTTGACACATACAGTTAATTTAGTTGCATAGACATAATATCATAGCATGATGAATCATTTCCCTTGATCAGACGTTGAGCATGCTTTCAACCTCCCGTTCCCTCTCATTCCTTTTTCTCTCCACCTTCCTCTCTCCATAGCTCTTTTTCAGTAGGTTCAGGCCAAAGAATGTGGGTCATGCTGCTTCCTGTTAATATGACTCACCCCCCCCCCTCCCTTTAAAGCTTTCCCCATGATTCCTTTTCTGGCTAAACCTCTCAGCCTTTTGACTTTGCTAAGTTGCTATTAAAAATTTCAAGGGAGACTGAAAACTACGTTGGATTACAGCTTCACACAGATTTTGAATAATAACAGGTCAGCTTGTTCAGTTGTATAGTTAAAACTTTATTCCCCTTTCCACAAAATGTGTTTAATTCATCTGATTGCAAATTCCTTATGTGCTTGAAAACCAGCTAATGTGCTAACAGAGATATCCCTGTTGTTTTGAAGTGGGGGTGTTTCAGTGAGTAGCTTTGTCACCTCGCATCTCCTGGGCTGTGGGTTGGAATCTGCTCCCAGCTCTGCGCCTGTGCCTTTCTGACTGTGTCCCACGGATACCTGTGGGTTTCCTTTCTGCACCCCGATTGCCTCCCATAACTACATGCCATGGTTAGGGAGTGCGAGGGAGGCCTCCACCGACCTAATATGCCGGAAGTTTCTTTTACAGACAAATTTAGAATTCAGTGGCACATAATATTCCTAACCATTTCACACTTAAACTCCCAGCCTTGCTACTCATAATGTTAAAGACTTAATGGCCAGTCAAACTTTTATATTCTGTGTGAGTAGACGAAATCAGCACCAGAGGCATTAACGGAAATTAAATCTGGCAAACTCTGGGCAGTACAGGCAGACCAGAAGCAGAATGATCCATATAACTTTCAACCCCTTATCCAGTACAGACACACTGTCCCAGGGAGGACAGGAAACAGGGCCGAAAATACCCTACATGGGATGCGTCCATCGTGATGTACACAGGCACACTACAGGCAATTTAGAGACACCTGCCTGCTAGCTTTTGGACTATGGAAGGACAGCAGAGTAGTCAGGGGAAGCCCATGACCAGGGGTAGGATTTAAACATCAAAGCCTGGACCTGTGAGGCTACAATACTAATCACTTAGAGGCAGTACCACCCCCAAATGCCTAGACGTCCACAGACGGGCATTATTCCTTCCCATGTTAGCTGGGGGATTGTCCTGCATTTAAGCGGCATTGGATTGTCCACAGAATATGTCGTTATTGTTGGATCCTACAAAGTCGGCGATTCTGGTATGTCTGTGTCGGGGCTATGCAGCTCATGGGCCGAGCCCTGCCGATTTTCCAGCCTTCCTTCACCTGTCAGTCAGGTGTGAAGCCTCTGGCCAATCAGAATCAGTAATGAGTAAACTAACTACCTGGGAGAACTGAAAACAAGGCCTGGATTTGGAATCGAGGGCCAGAGGTGAATAGCCCTGGTCTATGTCTTAGGGGATCAGAGTGTTGGCGATATTAGAATACTTTGTTTTCTTTTCTGAGTGTCACCAAGGAGGTAACTACTGATCACTCTGATAAAGGCAGGCATTACGTAGGTTGTGTAAAAACCTGGTGGCTCTTTAGAAGTAGGTTACGTCATTCATGCTCATAGGTTATCAACACTATTAAGACTATTGTGCATTCTGTATTCAGTTAAGTAACAACTTGGTGCAGTGAGTTCATACATAACACCATTCCTCATTACATTTTCAACTATACACATTCTTCAGCCAGGATAGTACGCTGTTCTTCCAATAAGGAATCAGGTGACTATCAAAGCAAAATGACTTCATTAAAAAATCAAATGCAATCATCAGCGAAACATTCGGGCCCTAATGACACCGCAATTTAACAGCATCAAGAAAGCAATTCCAGATAGCTGTTTATTATTGTCGACAACAAAAACGGATGCATCAAACAGAAAATATCTCCCGTACATATTAGGAAATGTCAACAAAGTGGAAAAGTGCATGCAAAATTGGATTCTTCCTTATCTTTTTATTTGTTTTTTTTTTTTTTTTGGCACAGGCAGACGGCAAAGCCTGTCCGTCTCTGAGGTCGGCCCCCGTGTTGTGGCAGCTCTGCTGTTCTGGGTTTCATGGTAATCACATGATGCTCAGAATCAAATTTGTAACAAAAAAAATAACCATCAAGCTGATGCTGGAGTACATGTGCCTTTGTACAAGTGTTTTCACACTGGGTATTATTACTGAACATTATTTTATTGTCTGTTTCCTTTATTTCATGCAGTTGCCCCTTCTACTTGCTGCCAGGTTGCTCTGATATATATTTATGAATATGTACAAGTTTTTTTTTTAATGGCGAAAACTTCATTCCAGTACAAATCTTGTCTGACAATGACAGCTTAAAAAAAAATACAGTGGTTTCTCCTCAGATGATGGGCTCAGACATTCAGGAAATATTTTTAAGGTCGATTTTTACATTTTTTGTTAGATTGTTATTTTTTTTGTAATTTTGTAAAAATTTTATCCTAATTGTCTTTGTCTTCAACGGTGAGGAATTCCGATCAAAGTTTTCCTTCTTTTAATACTTTAGGGAATTTTCAAACGTCGGGAGGAGTGGCTGAAACACCCCAAGATTTGTTCTCCCTGTAAGAAATCATAGAGTAACAATGTATTAAACTACAGAGCAACCTGGCTTTATGGGGTCTGCATTTTGTTTTACTTCAATTCTTCAGTAAATTAATATATGCTTCTCAGCAATCACTTTGTTTCATGTAATATAAGTAGCTATATTCATGCATTAAACATCTACATTTTGGTACTGATCACAGAGGTATAATTGTGTATCTAAGGGGTGTTACTTCAAAATGATGAACACCATGAAAATTTAAAAGAATAGAAACTGTAAAAAGTTTTCATTTTATCAGTGAACATTTAATCATGACACTAAAAATAGACAGTGTAAACAGTGCCATTCATTCTTATATAATACTCAACACATTCAAATTGTAAATATAGTAAAATAAAAGTCATTTAAAGCAAAGTATTTTTATTCACACAAATTTAATAAGATATATAACAACCGTTTGGTCCATAAATATCTAAGGGGAAATAATATCTATACACCATCTTTATCAAGAAACAAGGAAACATGGACAATCTTGTTAGAACAGTTACTGTACTATAAACACAAAAAATCAATAGATCAGATTTCTTGGACTACTCAATTATATCTGAGAGAGTACACAAGTGCCTATGATATTATCATCCCATCTGAACAGCAGGTACCATTGAAAGATCTTCAGAAATAAGATAACAGTACAAAATTAACGAGCCATTAAAAGGATGTAAATTAGTTAACAAACGACACATATCCTGAATCTCACAAACTCTTCCAAGTTATAGAATAAGGCACATAGCAGAACTGAGTTAGGCATCTACTTTATAAGAGTAGATCAATTGTACCATTTTGTTCTACAAAAGAACAAATTTTGACACACTTACAATGAAATGTACTTAACCTCAGTAAGGACCAGAAGGAAAAAGTTTTTGGTCTGTTCAGTGGTAAGTGTCCATAAAGAAATAAACGTAACGTTAAAAAAAGATTGGGTATGGATAACGTTTTAATTAACTGCCTCATGTTCCACTTGTTTAAGGTTTTTACACTTCTAGCATTATATGTTCTCAGCTTTTCTGTCTGTCTTGGTTGTTTCAATTGAATTTGAACACCCTGGACAATTCAGCAATGTCACGTCAGATGGGCATCATATTGGTACTTCAGCTCCAATCTGTATTTGTTTGCATCTTCTAAGCCCTGCTCCCAGCTCCACCCACCATCAAGATGTCTTCCTGACTTGCTTAAAGAACATCTGTCAAATGCCACATCTGGACAAATGCCACGGTAGTGGGATTTCCCAAAAGACATCTGCTGTCTTCTATTCCACTGTAAGACCACTGATTCTTCAAATTGTTATTATCATATCATTTTAATTTGAACGAATGCTGATATGCAGGTTATTTAAACATTTACCACAGTATATATCTCGATTATCTCACAGGTAAGCTGTAAGCTGAAAAAAAATATCATTTTACTTTACCGGCAGGATTTTGAATTATAGTTTTTTAATCTAAATCCTAATTAATAATTTATTTATGTTTGTGTGCATTAGTTTTTACTAATTTATTTATAATCTGTGTGATAGCAGGTTATTTTAAGTTCATACACTACACATTAGGCAGAATTATAATTTGCTTATTACCCAGTTGGCGCTCTTGATTTGGATATAGTGCATATATAAAGAATTGGTCTGATAGGCGGGCATATTCCAAATATACACAAAATAAATTTAATTTATGAGTTGAAGAATAAGCTCTGATATTATTTAACAGTGTTGCCTTTATACTAAATGAAATAGGATGTTTTGGATGCATTACCATGATTTTCAACATAACGTTGAAATGTTTACGATTTATTTCTCAAAAGCCATGATTTTATTCCACACAGTTATCATCGATATTAATCCACCCGATACTTAAACACCAATTACTGAATATCTAGCTACAAAATAAACCCCCAAGCAATTCCTACACACAAAAATTTTGTTTTTTTTTTGTTGGTTTATTTGATTCTTTGCTCTTCCAAGATTTGTCTCTCTCCGGTCATTAAAAATATCTTGCAACGTCTTGTTAAGAAAAAAAAAAAAAAAAAAAAAATGTTAGAAAAGGTTTGTTAAGGTAGTTTGGGAAGGACTCCCAGATTCGTGGCTGTCCAGATTAGAGGTCACTGATGTCACTACAGTGATAGAGGGATTGGTCAGGTCTGTTAGTGTGGTCGCAGTGCTGGGAGGGGTGAGAGTGCCGCTGTCGGATGAGGGCGGAGGTAGGGATGTGCCTTCAGCCTTATCAACACCCCCATTCTCCTGTCGCAATACGTTCCTTCTGAATTTGGCTCTGGCATTTTGGAACCAAACCTGCAAACCAATCCCAACGTCTTTACTTCCAAAACTCCGATTATGTCTGTTTATTATTATTATTTATTTTTTTTTTAAATGCACGTTATTCTGTATTTAATTAACACCAAAGATTTGCTGAGCAATCTACAATTACTTTTTTTTTTTTTTTTGGAAAAAAGAGGGGACGACAATAACGTTTAGGGTACAATTAAGCTGAGGTGCTGGTTTTGGTTTAGTTTAACATCAGGAATTAAGGACCAACCTATAATGTTGGCCAAAATGGAGGCAGAATGTTGCATCCACCAGTATGTCAATATATTATAGATTTTAAATAATATGACAACTTTTGCGCACATGTAAATTACTGTGTATTTCCCCTCTGACATTCTTAAATATTCCACAGGAATTAATGATCTTTAAGACAAACAATTTATATGTATTTACTTTCTAGAATCCATGAAGATACTCTATGACCAAAAAAGTGGATGAAACATACCAATCCTATCCACTTGAAACTTCATCTACTCTGCCTCAGAACTAACACTAAAGCATGAAAAATGGCACCAAATGCAAAATAATAAAAAAGAAAACCACACACAAAAAAGGATGGAGAAAGTGAAACACAATTATTACCTAAGCAGAAAGTTCTAGAACACACAGATTGAGTTCCTAATCTGTTAGGGTGAAAATAAAGGTAAGGGATGCTTACCTGCAGGACTCTTTTCGTGAGCCCGGTTTTTTGGGCAAGCTGTTTCAGGTCTTTTGCGTCCGGGTTGTGGTTGATGGCAAAGTAGGACTTCATGGTGCGGAGCTGATTGTGTTTGAATGACGTACGCATGCGCTTGGTCTTCTGGGACGGCGGGTAAGACTGCTGGTCACGGCCCAGGTGGTCGGCATCGTTCTCGTTACAGCCTGTGTGCAGAGGGAGGTTTGCTCTCGGTCATCTGACCAAACTAAGCAACAGATTCATACTTGCGTTCAATAATGTATCCAAGCAATAAGAACAAGTTACAATGTGTCATTTATTTTGTAACCTTGCTAATGAGAAAATGATGACCAACCCTGAAGGAGGTTATAGGATGACTGAAATATACTAATTTTTAAGACTTTTTGTTTACCTAACATGCATATTTTGAGAGTCACAAAATCGTTAATTCTAAATTACTGTAAATATCAATTCTGTTGCATGCACTTTTTAATTTGCATCTTTTGAGTCTGATGTTTCTGTCCTGGATGTGAATAGTATGGGTTGGAAGACAGACAGACAGGTAGATAAGACAGATAGAAAGATTCTGTTCTATTCTATTCAGTTTTATATTATGCAGATAAAACACTTTATACATAAAAGGACATAAGAAAGACCATCTGCACTTGGGCATTTGTATATGATACCAGACAAAACAGCATTGAGCAATTTGGTGGAAAGTTCCTTAAAACCATTTCAATAAAAAAATCTGAACCATGAGACACGTGCACTGCCTGAATATGCCCCCCGAGTCTGCAGTTTGTCCATGTTGGGGCGACAGTGTTCAAATATTCCCACTTGATTATCAAAATTCTGACTTTGTTCACGTGACAAAACGCACGCACATCGATTGGTTGACTATACTTAGTTTACATGACTAAGCGGCAGAGGGAACCGTAAGCAGCAGCCTTGGAAAACATGCATCTCAGCGGGGCTCTAAAAACATCCACGAAAAACAGCTAAGCACAACTGGTAGGAAGTAGTAACACCGCGCTTTCAAACAAGTTTTCATAGTGATCATAAATTATTTATCAGTTGTGGTATTAGTATTTATATTAATATCCATTACACAACACTTACAATATGCTACGACTCATAGGTAAATTTAAATATATTAATATCATACCGTTAGTAACGCGAATACTTTAAATGTGGTGTAATTCCGAATGGGGTTTAATGCAAATGCTATCAATACACTTTTTAAATTACTATTGCTTCTATTGGGATCCCTTTTAGAAGGGGCAGTTCGTTAGTAACTACGTGAAAACCAGATATTTTTATTTTTAGTAATGGCCGCAGGATCACTAGACCTGTAAAGCCGGAAAATGACTAGATGCTACGCGGCGTACGCTGCGCAAACAGCGGCCAGGGCCGCGGCTGTAAGGCTGGAAGGCGCATTCCCAGGAACGGGCGCACCACCGTAACTCCCCCGTCCAATTTACAGTTCTTTCAATTTTATTACTTTTTAACATTTCAAACACGTCCACCAGGGGTCTCTACAACATCGACAAACGCCTCCTGACTTCGCTCATCAAATAAATAATTTAATGCAGGCCTATTTCGTTTGTTAAAATCTAAACAAAAGCAAAGCTAATTGCATCTTAATTTGGGGGCGACTTAATATATAAGTTATAAGAATTTTACTATACATAAATGAAACGTATCAATTTAATCGAAACTAAGATATATTAATTCCATTGGAAGGCCTAAATTAGCATTAATTAATCGCTTTCTCGTTGTACAGTCTGTACACTCCTATCAGTGTTATAATATCGCAATTATAATGCATAAATATGTTGTTAATGTGTGTATAAAAGGCAGGTATAAACGGGAGTGACGTATACGGGTAATTAATGATTATTAAACGTGTGATTTAAGACATGATTCAATTTTAAATACTCCCGTGCGATTTTGCCGCGCTCGGTTCCCTTCGCCTATTCATGTGCACAGCGCTGACCTTCTGACGGTGATTAAAAGCTGGTAGGCGGCCAGGGATTCGCGACGTCACTTCCAATTAACATAGAACAATTAACACGCAGATTACCCTGACTCGACTCCAGTCAAGAAAGACAGCGTAAAGTTTAGCGGCCGAAGGTTCTGCTAACGCAGATTTTTCGTTTGCTTCATTTTTGTACATTTACAACGCACATTTGAAATAGGCCTACTTTCTTAATACAAATGAAAGGGAGTACAGATTAAATAATTAACACGGAAAATAGGATCATGCCTAAGTCGTAGACATTACATATTTTTTCATCTTGAGAAACGTAGAGCCTAGTAAATCCAAGGACAACAAAGTAGTATATAGTGTAAACATGTATAAAGTTATAAATTACGCTTCATAAATTAATGAAAAAATAACATGAACAACTTAATAGGCCTACATATATATTAGCTACTGTCAGTATAGTTTTCGACAGACTAAATTCAGCTACAACTTTTAAAAATGAAGAAGATATTCCTACAAAAAGTTGTCTTTATTTTACGAAAATATGCTAGCCTAGTTGTCGACATTTTCTTGAAGCGTAATCGGCACATTGGTTTAGAACGAAATAAAGCACCTAGAATTAAATTACATGAAATATACCAAAGTAAGCCTATATATATTTACCGCGGTCAGCATCAAATGCAGGGCCTAAGTTTCCAATTGACTAGATCCATTACAAGTGTAATATACTACACGTTATATTGAGTATTGCATTTATAGCACTGCTCACCTGCATTGTACGTCGCAATGTCTACACTCATGGCCGGACTCTTCCGCTTCCGCGGCCTTCCTTTCTGGACAGTGCTCGTACCGTTAAAGTACGGCAACGCCAGTCCGCCTCCTTTAACTGCTAGCTCGGTGTAGTTTAACTGAGGGTGGTACTCTCCCTGCAGAATGGTTTCGAAGTGGACCCTGCAGTACACCAGGTTGTCTTTCATGCCGAAGTGGTCGCCGGTGGTCAGGGTCTTGCTGCAGGTGGTGCAAGTGAAGCAGCTCAAGTGGTACACCGAGTCCCTGGCACGCATCACCATCTCCGAGGCCGAGATGCCAAGGTGGCAGCGGGCACAACGCTGCACGGAGAACCTTCTAAAATGGCGAAAGTCATTTCGTTAATCATTCAGATTTAGACGAACGTCTATTGTCTAAATTATTTAGATAAAATAACTGTGAAGAAAAACACACTGTTTCTCAAGACCGCCGTCATTTAAAAATACTGAGAATGATTTATTGATAGGAATATAGGCCTAAAATGTTACACCCGGTTCATTGTTACAGGAATTGCATTACGGGGAAATTTTAACAGAAAAGAAAATTAAGTAACAAAGTAAATGCAAAACAAATTTAAATACGAATTATAATATGCATTCGACACTGGAATGTCCCTGAATACGTTTATAATAATATGAATACGTAGGTGACCCAAGGAATTTCTAAGGAAACTACTTCTAAGTGGAAACCAAATTTTCATTGTGAAATATGACAGCTTTTCTTCCCACAATAATTTTTTCTAAGTCTTACCAATTTAATTACCAATTGCCACATTTAGGCTACTAAATTAACATTAGCTTTTTATTTCTGTGCGAGACGGCGCGAGTGCGTAAAAAATTCTATTTACGCTTCTTTATCTGTATCCTGCAGATATAAAATATTAATACAGTTTAGTCTCATTTCTTAATGGCGATTCTGACACGTTAAACTGTTAGTAGGTTACATATAGTAATACAAGAAGTAGCCAACACCAAGTACTTTAGACTGAAACGGTCCAAAAGAATTTTCTGTGTTACAACATTTGCATGCACAGTTAGTATAAGATTAGTGCCGATAGCCGATTCGGCTGCACTATACGTACCACCATCTCTCACCTGTAATAATCTTCTTTGCAGTAAATGCTACCATCCTTTGCGAAACACGTGAGCTCCGATTCCAGGGCGAGCTTGCATTCGCAGCACTTCAGGCATCGCAGATGCCACTGCTTATCGACGGCCAGCAAATAATACCTATCGGAGATTCTACCCCCACATCCGGCGCACAGCGCGGGCTTCTCCGGCCGCATCGTGGGCAGGGTCTGTAAGAGAGGAGTGGCAGGAAATTTACACGTGTGATCAACATTCAAATTACCAATTTTATTCACTCTGCAGGCAAATACGTTAAAGCTTGTAATTTTAATTTGCACGTTTAGGAGTCTTCAGTGTTTGCCACTAGCCTAAGAAGACTACTGTAAATTAAGCTTATATATGAAGCTCTTCTTTTTATTATTATTATTAGTTAAGATATCAGGAAATACGAGGACATTAGTATGATGTCATATTACTGTACGTTTTCGATTATTTAAATACAAAAAAATAATAATATTCAGTTATACGGTTATTATTTGTCTAAACTAGCAATGAATTTGTGCATCATTCAATTAAATCCACCACCGAGAAATTAAATTAAGAATTGAACTTTTATAATAAAAAAATGCTTATAAGTTAAATTGCTATCAATAACCTATTACGTTACTTTAGGAATGAAAACATTAATACTTGTTAATCAAAGCACAGATGGGTTTACGAAACAGTTGTGGTTATCACTTAACCTAAATACGACAAACGCAGTTTTCAGAAAAAAAAATGTGTATTTTGTATTTTTTAAAAAGTCTTGGTAACAGTCACCAAAAGTTTTAATTTTGTCAAGTATTCGCTATTTTTATTAGTTGAAGCAGACCCTATTTAACTCGTAAACCCATTTCAATTTGATTTACTATGATGGGAAATAATACGAGCAAACAGTAGGCCGTTAGTTGTATTTTATTTATTAGTTATATTGAATACCTTTTATTGATTCTTTCATATTTACACATTACCTGACTTGTGTGTTAGTGTGTGACGGCATAGGCCATTTTATCGTCGGTGTACCGCTGCTTGAGGAAATAACGAAGCAAATACGTTGTACCACAGGTTTGATTTACATGAACAAATTAAACCCGTAGACTAAAACCGTATATAGTTGCAAAAAGCGGTAACATAATATTTTACCTAATGCATTGTTTTTGGTAAGGTAATTATCCTACCGTTTCCCTTCCGTTGATATGGACGCCCTTGACCACACGAGACTCTGTTTTGGATCGCCTTTCCATCTCCTCCATGATCCCTTGAATATGATCCCCGGAGATCCCGTGGAAAAGCATAGCTGGTGGAGGTTCCGTGCAAGCGTTTTAATTTGTCTTGCTCCACCCGGAGTCTAGATCATCCAAGCAGTGTCTGGATCGTCTGGAGCAAAAAGAAATTCGCCGAAATTCAAAGCGTCACTTCTGCACCACTACACCAATCTCGGGGAAGGAATACAGGATATAGGAGCGAGCAAAAAGTGCAGGAATGGTTCTCCAACCGCGTTAATGCCGTCCAAAGAGTGTAGTCCCGATGATAACAGAACTAAAGTTAGAGCCGGGGGGCTCGTTATAAAACAAAAATTAATATTACGCGTTTAGACGGTCCAAGACTTCCTGAAAGATTCCATGTGCTTGAAGCTCAGGTTGGGACTGTCTGAATTTGTGTGCCTTGTCTTATTTGTTAGGAGTCCCGAAGCCTGCCCAGTCTGGATAATTTGGTAGGAGGAGTTCTCCCTCTTTCAATTGCCACTGATTTCTAGTCACCAACAAAGACCTGTCATTCTTTACCCCCCCCCCCTCCTCCCGCGATGGAAGATACAACCATTCCATATTACATTATTGCCATAACTTAAATTCCCCACTATAGCTTAACGTTTTAAAAGAAGACACCATTACTGAAAGGAAATCTTTGTTTTTAATTTAATAAATCCATATCAGCGCTCTAATCAGCAACAACTACCCTTTCTGTATGAACACGTAGAGTTTTACAGTAACCCATTATTAAGAATACTACTGTAGATGCCACTAAATACAAACGTGTTGACATTAAATATCGGATGCGTAATTTGGGCTGTAAGAAAATAAGGACAAACAGTAACAGAATACTAAAATATTCAATGACACTATATATTAATCATTTAAACTTATGCAATAATTATTTCAAGGCCTGACCGTGAACGCTGATTTATATATCTAACAAACATGGCGCTGGGATATATTCGTTAAGGTCACAATATTTGTTTCATTTAATCTGGATTCATTACTGAAGTGCTACGTGATTATTCAGTCATTAAAACAATCGGCGTTAATAGCAGTTACAAGTGGTATGTATTCGTGCTAATACTTCGCCTTTTTCTCTTTTTGTAGTGAAAAATACAATCAAGAACATTATTCATTTGTTTATGTTAAACGTTAAATAAATTTTAATGCTAGTCATAAATTTAGGCACTCGTTGTTAGTATATTTAGAACACAGACCACTTTTAAATTACACGTGTAGCCTAAAGTTAATAATCATAAACTCGCTCGTTTTTCAGCAATAATGTGATTTTTACAATATAGGTGGCATTACCGATTATTTATTATAATACGGAATGTTCTTCAAAATCATGTTTGCTGCCGGTTGGTTTAATTGAAACTGAATATTACCATGACAGTTTTTTATTATTTGGTGAATATATTCCTCAGGATAAGAAGAACATAAGCGGTGATTATGTGTGGTGAAAGTAAATGCGACCTTAATTTTTTTGGCGATAGTAAACATGTTTTTTCTTTTATTTTCACGAAAATAAAAGCGATTATTCGGGTCACCCTGGACCTCGTTGTGTTATACAAGAAATTCTTAGCATTTTTCCAGCAGGCAATTCAACTGAGTTTGGCTTGTATTAGTGTTTAATTGGACCTATCCAATTAAACTTATTACAGATGTGCATTTGCCTTCATTTAAATCATTAAAAACACACGCACACACACACATTGTAGGACAAAGATTTCACCTAACCAATTTCTTAATTTGGTGATTTATTTCAATAAACAAATACAGAAATATCTGATAGTGAATTTTTGACAAGGAATCTTTAATTGGCGTAATTATGGCCCCAAGTTTAATAATCTCCATGGAGTTCTCCTGCCGCCAAGCCTTAGACTGACCTATTAGTCCACAATGACTGTATAGTATGTGTCGAATTAAGTCAATCTTATAGTACATTTCGATTTGTCTCTTTCCCTGTTAGCTTCTTTAGCCGTCTGCTAAGTGATGAAGACGACACCGGCAATTCATTTTAATGGGCACGCCCTCCAACACATACTCTCTCTCTCTCTCTCTCTCTCTCTCTCTCTCTCTCTCACACACACACACACGCACACACTTTTTTTGTTACGTTGTTTGTTGAACTGAAGTTTTTTTTGTCAAGGAGAATATTACTGAGACATATTGGTTACATTTAAAATCATTTTGATAATATAAAATGTTGGAAGTCAAATGCAAAGCCTGCAGTTACAGGGATTTGGCCAATTAAAGCAATTATTTGCATTCACGTCAAACTCATTGCTAAATTTGTTTCTGAAGGGCCGTGGTAAGGCTGCGTAGACAGAGCGCAGAAAAACAGTGGCATTTGAAAACGGTGTTTTCCAAATCGCCGTTACCTTTTTGCATTGCCAAGAAGGGAGCGCAAAGTAGCACGCGACTAAAATGGTCCTAGAAGATCTCTGTTAAAATAAATATTTAAAACTTTATATAGAAATTAAACGCGTGTATTTGTCGAATCCTTGCTTTGTCTTCAGTTTGGCTTTTACAATATAATGCGCAAATCTGATGTAACACTCCGTAACTATAGAAAATGCTGCGGAGAGGGAAAAATGAAATAAAAGCGTAACGTATAAAATACTACATTCTGTAGATGCTGGCGCAGTGCTGTAATAAATGCACCGTATGTTGCGGTTCTTAAATAATCATAATAATTGTTATGCTCTATAATATTTTAATAATAAAAAACACCAATGCAATGAACTGCCAAAACGGTGAATACCCCGAATATACATTTTCTACACGTGCTTCAATATTGTATTATCTCACAGGCATGTAAAAATCTCACATGCCAGACGGACCGACGTGTTTCAAATCTAAAATCCGGTTTAATTTTTTTTTTACTCGTTGCTATTGCAGTTACATCTATAGCGTTATAAGATTAATAAACAAACATAGGCTGCATACATGCTTCTAAGAATATATCCAGCACTTGGATCGAAAGGCTTCGCACTTACCTTGAGTTTCCTGATATGATTTCTGCTGATGTGCGAATGCCGTGGGTATATGACGGAGACCGGATGGCAGAGATTCATCTGTCAGTAGATGGGGGTTGTTCCATATTTCTTGTCGAGCCAGAGTTAATTAAAATAAACCAGATGCTAGGTGGACAAACACCTTCTTTTGTTATTCCAGGAATCCCATCACTGATGAGCCGGCATCGAATCAGGCGACCAAGAGATTTTTCTAACTACTGTGTATATTAATTCACACAGGAATCAGATAAAATTATGTTTATTTTACCATCTAAACAAAGAAGGCGATTTTAACCTAAATTAATTCAGGTCATGTCTGTTTATTGGGAAACAGAAAGTAGACTACACGCCAGTTTTACAATGTTCCAAAAATTCGAAAAGTACTGCATTGCCCGTGTCGAGGAGCAGCACCAGGCGCTCGCCTTTCAAAGCGTTTCTTCAAAAGGTTAATTTTGAATTTAAAATCACTTATACTCTATTTATTGCACATTTAATATAAATCTGTAGTGTTTCCTATACAGTGTGCATGGTGATTGAGAAACGTGAACACATCAGTATTTTTAAGCCAGTCGTCAGATTTCGCGCTTTTCCTCGTTTGATACAGGGGATGAAACAGTGCATAAAGCGACCTCTAACACAGAAAATGATTAGTTTTATTTATTTATTCTCAAAGACTAAAATAAAAAAAATAACTCGCAGTAATCTCACTTCAGGAGATTCAATTTTCAGATTCTCATACGTTTTAACATTTCTTAAATTAAAAAATATTGGAAAATGTAGAGCTTGTATATAAGCAGTTAGGAAGTAATTTTATAGGAGGGTTCGGAAATGTTTGTTTAGGTGATTTTCACATAATACCAAAATGAAAACACGAAACAGGCACCATCAAAAATGTGAGGTAACATAATCTAGTGGAAGGATAAGCGTTTCAGCCGGTGAAAATGTTAACCTAGCGCCAGTGAACGACGTTTCCAAAACAACAGGCCTGTCAAATCACGAATTTATTTAAATGTTGAATCACATTTCCAACTGAGAGTGAATTAAGATTAACAATAACATATAAACACCGAGTGTACTTGGAAGTCATGTAGCCTACAGAAACTCTCTGGTTTAGAATTAACAAAAAAGGGTTGTTACCGACCCTCACCTTCGTCATTGGGAGCAAAAACGAAATACTGATGCAGAGTTTCTATGGCAACAGAATAAATTTTAAAGAAACGAACTTGTGTATGATCTGATTGCAACTTTTCATAATGGTAGGCACCAGTCGCTAGATTATTAAAACATGGGTTTGCGTTATTTTTAAAAACGGTTTCAAGAAGCACTATTAATCACCTCGGTACTTAAATCTAAAACAAGAATATAAATAGGTATCATATGAGTATGCAAAAATAAATAAAATGATAATGCGGATTACAAGAATATTTTATTTCCATGTAACATTTCCCTGAACTGATGGGAATGGTATACAGGCAGTAGAAGTCAAAACGAACTTCGAATCTTCAGAATCTAAAATCTGATATTTCTGCTCCAGGTTTCTTTTATAGTGGAAAGAAAAAAGTAAAACGTTTAATGGATATTTGATTAATGATCGATTATTCGATATAAAAATTTTTACAATGGCAATCACATGCATACTTTATAAATACAGTTGATGTTTACCAGTATTGTATGAACTGGACCTTAATCTTGCCGATATCACTTCAAGAAAATGATGTCTTTATTATGGAAGAAATTAATCTGACCTGTGAAACCAAGCCAAGCAGTTTCTCAGCCTGCTCTCCTAGCCTGAATTTCAAATGATCTGATGCCAAAAATACATAAAAGCTAAAATTATGCACAGACCTGTAAATGGCCATAAGTCATGGACAGAATGAATGACGGTGAAGGTGTGTCTTCATTGTTATGCAGGGGTAGAATGTATTGTGTTCACCCTCATGCTTTTAGAATTCAGCGTGTGTCTTTAAATTGTAGAGTATGTGACCAAAACTGAACTCTTGGTGCGGAGCCCCTCCCAAACTCTCCATTTGCTCCCCCCAGTCCCACCGCCTCTGCAGCTCCTGATCCTTTGACCTGATCCTCCGCTCTCGCCCAGAAGGAGCCCACACCACTCTACTCCCCTGCTGCTGCAGGAGCACCCCTCCGGGCAGGACTAAGGTGCCCTCCACCGCTGCCAGCTCCCTGGATCTCCGGGGAAGCCCTATCAATCCTCCTGTCATGGAGGAACACGTGGTCCTGAAGCCGGCTGGATCTACTCATCACCCGGCTAGCCACCGCGACCTCTATGCCGGTGCTGGCAGTACTGTACCGATCTCGTGGCAGGGATTTGTCCGGGGCCTTTGTTTCTTGTGCTCTGTCCCGCTAACGACGGACCTGCTCGCTCCAGCGTAGAGTCCTGGCACGCCACTGTCACATCTGACCT